TTCTTTTTTTATACCTTGTGATCTCTGTCTGCAAATTTCTGTTCTTTCATATTTTATTTTTGTCATTTTTTTTTCTTAAAGCCTGACATGCTCCTAAAATCTTTACACACTAGGTATTTTAATTATCAAATTTTGAATAATAATACATACACACATACATAGAACACATATATATTATCTTGTGTGTTTATGTGTACACATACTCACACACACACACATATTCTGTGTATTTCGGGCATAAATGTTCTTTACGACAAATATTAAAAATTACAGACATTTTAATGATTGAATTCCATCATAAATTGTCTGAATTCCTTTCACAAGAAAAGTACAAGAAATATGGTTCAAGCTTTTGACTTCCTTAAGTCAATATCAGGGTAGATAAAAGCCATTAGTGAGTTCTGTAGAACAAATGTTGTGATGTAAGCCAGGTGTGACGTTTGTAATTATTTTTTTTTTATGTTCATTTGAGGATTCAGGCTCTCTTAAGTTATAATTATCCATATTTATTGATGGTCATTTTTTGTTGTATGTATTACTTCAAGGATCATAAGTCTGTTTTTACTGTTTGATTTTGCTACTATTTTGGTATCACACCTTGCTTACATCACAACATTCTTCACTTACATCACAACACTCACTAGTTCTATGAAACTCACCAATTGCCTCTACTTACCTTGATGACTTAAGAAAGTCGAAACCTTGGACAATATTTTTTGTACTTTTCTTCTGAAATGAACTTCGGACAACTTATGATGCATGCATGTATATATGTCTCTACAGGTATTTAGATAATAAAAGCAAATGTGAAAGATTTATAAGCAATCTATTTAACTAGCAAAAACAAATTTTGAGTGATTTTGTTTATATTTTATTCTCTTATATTCTGTGAAAAAAATATTGATATATCAACAAAAATAATATCACTCTATGCTTGTGTGTTGGCATCGAAATGCATGCTGCTTAGCACCTGTATATGTTAACTATTAGTGTTTGTTTAAATATTTGAATATAACCGAGTTTGGTATGGCACACGGCCACAATAATGGGGCATCCAATAAGGATCAAAAACCTATTTTAATTTACTTCTAAAATTCAATGGTGGTCTGTGAGACTAACATGTTAATATTCATTCTAGAGCAGGCACCTCATGTGGAAATATTTGCACTCCATTGTGTACTTAAATGGCCAAAGGAAAACTGCTTGAAGAATTTTTCAAGTCTTGCTACCAGACGAATAATATTTGCCAACCATTGGGAATAATAACCAGTTCAAAGTTTGTCTGAAGAACTAATTTCTCAAGAGATACTTGTCTCGTGTATTTGTGCGCATGTCAAATACAAGCAGCAATCTGATTGGTTAACTTCCGAGAAGAAGTCTTCTGATTGGTCGATGGAAGTTTGATTTCAAGTTTTCTGGTATTCAGAATATCTCTTTGAAAATTAGTGCTACAACAATCTTCCAGAAGAGAAACTGTAAAATAAACGTATCGTGTTTGTAATTTTTTATGCACTGCTTTTGATTAGACTCACTAGACCGTGCGTAAACGTAAATAAGATAACCTTACCGTGCACGGAAATAGTCACAATTTTAGTGAGGGGAAAAAATATTGTAACTTTTACTACTTTAACCCTTATGGGAAACTTAACCTCTCAGTTCATTTTTTTAAAGATTTTGAAATTACCATCATTTTCTGCAAATGAACAACAAAAACAAGTGTTGACATTTATTTAGTGATAAATTAAAAATATCTGAACCTTGTTAGAGAGTTGAGAAAGATATGGAAAGTTAAAGACCTACTAAAAAGGTTTGAAATTGTGTCAAAAAAAGAAAACATTAGAGACGCGATGTTACTGAACTAGAAATCCGACTGCACAGACTATCCAATTTCGGGAATCTGCGAGAATACCGAGGAGGGTTCTAGAGTTTGAGACTTGCTGTTATACTTCACTACAGCGATGGACAGTAGACGTGGGGAATCCGAATACCTCAATAATGAAATACATTTTCTTTTTTTTAGTTCTTACTCTTAGGTTGTGTCTTTTCTCTTTTTGTTTTTGAAATTGATAAAAATTTGCTAATTCTGTTTTTATTCGAGAAGAGAAGTGAATTTTATATTCTTACTTTTTAATAATAACAGTTTCCTTTTTATGGTTTGCGAAATTAAAAAAACAATCACTATTTAATTTTAAAAGTTTTCCTTTTTTAGGTTTCTAAAAATGTTACTACCCCCATTTAAACGAATCCAAGTCAAAGGAAAAATAAATAAATAAAAATCAGGTAAAAAAAAAAAAGAAACATGATACGGTTAGCACACAACAGACAAAAAAACTGAGCGGTTTCTTTTTTTTTTTTTATCCCAAAACTTTAGTGTTCAAAAACCCAGCCTCTTCCCATGGACAAAATCCCAGACTCATAAACAAACTGAAAATTCAAGGAAATTTTAATTCAAATTTTAATATTAAACTGAGACTTTCTTCTTCACATAAAGACTAAAGTCGTGTCTTTAGGACTCCCTAATGAAATATCGAATATGTGAGCGTAGCATTGTTAGAAAACCTTTAGGTTGGATTGATTTACTACGAATTTCTGTTGCAAACAGAGCGGACCCATAAACTCGTGAAGTACCTGACAGAAATAGATGACTTTTATTAATTATTATTATTACTAGCCACCATAAATTAATTTATTGTGAAATTTTTCCGGACACGTATTTAAATAGTTTATTAATTAAAAAATAAGTAGAATTTCTTTCACTTTTCTCAGTATTTTAGAAAAATATTGAAGGATTTAAAAAAATTAATTAATAATGACAAAGCCCGAAGTAATTGAAAAGTTTAGTCGTATTTTTCTTTACTGTACGACTGAGGAAAAAAAAAACGCTATTTTTATTACCTAGCTTCATATTTTTTATCCTATTTTAATGTTTTTAAGAAAAAAAAGTGCGATGTAAAAACCAGGAAAGGAATCCTATTTGTTGCGTTGTGCTATCAATCAATATTTTAAAAAGATTTCAGGCAAGAAATCTTTTTTAAAAAATAAATTTGGTTGTTAAGGAAGAAATACAGAAAAAAAAGACATATTTAAAAATATAAACTATGCGAATTTCCGTCACAATTAATTTGTTGTTCTCATTTATGATTTAAAGTTTAAACAAATACAACTTTTCAAACACAAATATCCCCGGTTCTGCTGGAGACAAGTTAAAGTTTAATTTTAATTTCCCTGATCTTTCTTAAAATAATAGTTGAAAGTGAAAGTTTATGAAAATCGAATTTATTTTGTTTTGTAGGAATAATTTTTCTCGCGTCTTCCATCTCGCGCCATTTTCAAAGGCAGTTTTTTTTTTTTTTTTTAAAGTGCAACAATGTTAATAATAATCAGAATTGTCTTTAGTTTGTTTTTTTTAATCAAAAAAGCATTTTGATTTATAAGTATTAAACTTTATCGAATGAGTCTAAATATTTCTATATAAATAGATCAGTTGTTTATTTTACTAAGGTTTCTCTTGTCTGTCTGTTGTCTCTGTCTTATTGTCGGTCGATTTTTTTACGCGTTTAGTTCAAATCCCAGTAAAAGTAAAAAAAAGAAAAAAACAGTTAATTCGACATTTACTAGTCAGTCTTGTTTTTCCTTTTTGTCTACGATGAACAATTTTGGTTTCTTCCGAAAGAACAGAATCGAAACAGAGGGAGGCGGGAAAAAAACTCAAGAAAGTTGTAAAAAAGAAAAAGCAACAACGCAAGAGACGGACATGACAGACTACAGTTGTGTTCTCTTTACTGTTTAAAAACATTTCACCCTCTCTTTGCTATTCTTTCCTCTTTCTTTTACTGTTCGATTCTTACCCAACACCCACCCGCCGCTCAAAAATACCCCGCCCCAACATTCGTCTTCGTTTCCACCTCTGTAGCTACTGCTAGCATTTTCTACTACCGCCGCCATCTTCTTCCCCATATTTTTTCTTCTTTTTCTTACTGATCATTACACATACAAGTAAAGCAGTCCAGACAGTCTTGCTGTGTAGTTTGTGCTCTTCCACCATTACATTTTACGACGACGACTACTACAAATGCGACGACCACGACTACCTGAGCGCGCCAAGGCGAAGAAGGGCGGGAAAAAATGGAGTTAGCGCGGGAAAGGAAGAAAACGTGTATGAGGGAGAAAGAAAGAAAAACAGGAAAAAAATGAGGAGAGAGAGAGGTCGACGTCACACAGCTGTTGTCTGGCCGACATGACCGCACATTGATCTGTTTCAGGTCTCTCAGCCTTGTCTGAAACGAATTGGGCTTGTGTTGTGCTAGATAGGTAGGTAGGTGAGGCGCGTGGCTCGGTAGGTGGGGTCTGCGGTAGCATATGAATCTAGGATAAGGGAAGAGGGGAGGTTTTGATGATTCTGTTGCTTTGTGTGTGTGTGTGTGTGTGGGTGTGGGAAAAGGCGTTAAGGACAAGTTTTTACAGCTTTGTTTCTATTTCTTCTTTCTTTTAGCAGGGTTCAAAGAAATTGTGTTGGTTACCTAGTTTATTTTTAGTTTGTCACAATTAGGGCACCTAGAGAGGATCGAACTCACACCAATAATAATTAGCTTGATCGTTACCCTTAGACGACTTGGTCTTTAAAGCTGGGTATTCAATGACGATCGAATTTGCTAGTAATTAAATTAACTTAATACTATCAAATACCTAAATTGGGGGTAGAAAAGAAAAAAAGGTGGCTTGTTAAGTTTATCACTGTTCATATTCTTCAGTGTTTCTTTTTACCAAATTGAAACTTCACTCTTACCAACTGAAACAGAGTTTCTCACAAATTTTATTTCTCTTTTTCTATCTTTTCTCTATCACTTTCTTTTTCGATGTTCCAATTTTAAAAATTCTTTTTCGCATTCTAACTTTTATCTTTTTTTGCTTAATTTTTCACTTCATCTCTTCGTTGTTTCTCTCTCTCTCTCCCTATACCCCCCCTCTCTAATTAATACCTCTCTCTTTCACTTTTATTAATGCCCACTTCTCTCTCTCTTTTATTAATACCTCTCTCTTTCTCAGCAATTTTCCTTTTGTCCTCAGAATCACAAAATTTTTCAACTCACTCTTATCCCCACGTATCCCGTCTCTCTCTCTATCTCTCAACAATGTTTACTTAATTCATTTGTCCCCCCCCCGTCTCTTTATTCTCTCTTAGCAACACCTTCGTTTTATAACTCTTAATCTGTCTCTCCGTCAAGGAACACAGATAACTTCTCAGCCTGACCAAGAGAAGGTGAAAATAAAATCTAATATTTGGTCAGATTATGGCAAGTGGGTCGGGTCGAGAACTTTTCAGTAAGCCCTCCTATCTCTCTCTCTCTCTCTCTCTCTCAGCTGTTGTACTGTAAAACTACTAAAACCGTTACCATCCGGACCCTCTCCCCCCAGTCTTCCCACACCGACCATGACTGGTCTTGTTCTCCCCTTCTCTCTTTCTATCCACGCCTCTCACCCATCACTCCGGTCTCCAGACAATGTTTAAACAAAACTATCGATCGGTTTGTTTGTCTAGCAGCGGCAGAAACATATTTTATTATGTCTAAAACTCCCGGTGTCTTCAATTCGCTCACACCTCCCCCCCCTCACTACCATTACTGTCATCATCATTATCATCTTCATTGTCAACTTCAACTATTTTGCACTGTTTAAATAATATTCTAAAAGGTAGAACGACTAATTTCTTTTTGCCTTTTTCTTCTTCTTAAGTCTTGTCCAGCCCCTGAGGTGAGAAACGACTGATGGCAGGGAGGGCGACAGGTACTGGAGAGTGGCGAATGGAAGTGGGATGGATAGATGAGATTTTTCGTTTCAATTCTTCATCAACTTTATGAAATATAAATGATTATTGAATTTGTAACTGGTTGTGTGTGTGTGTGTGTGTGTGTGTGTGTGTCAATAGACAGTGCTGCCGCAGCCGCCTCCCTCATCATCATATGCTACCTTAAGTTCACTGGAATGAACTTGATGAACTTGATAAGATCTGGTCAGGTCATTCCAGCTGGGGTTTGGATAGTGGATGGGGCAGAATATTAAGTTTCTTACACTTGAATCAAATTTACATTTACAACACTGTCTTATTTCTTAATATTACAATACTCTTAGGTACCTAATGCAAGGGAGGATCTTAATGAAAGGGATAGTCTTGAAATCACTTAAAGGGTCAAAAAATGCAAAATTAATGAACTAGTGATCTTAATAAGTTTGAGGAGTGACAGGAACATTTCTTTGAAAAAAAAAAAGAATACCCCCCCCTTTATTTGGCACCTCAGAGTAATAAAATTCCAATAGACAATTATACAAGTATATGTGTGTGTGTGTGTATATATATATATATATATATAGGGATGGGCATGTGATCAAATGGTTTCCAATCATGAGACACACTTTTGAATCTGTTTGTTAGGAAGGCAGGCAGGCAGGCAGGCTTGATGTTATTGGTCTTGGGAGGCACCTTTGGAAAGAGCCTGAAAACCATTCCACAAGTTGAAATTGGGTAAGAAGCCCTCAGTGGTTGCACTATTATGAAGTCACAAGTCATCGTGACTGAGTATTTGTGCATACTGGAATTGTTCAAAACTGCTGATCATAAAACCATAGTTGCAGTATAAACGGCAGGTTGGCTCTGTGGGTGTTAATAAAACACAAATGGGCCTGGGCAGATGGGCATGCTTGGAAACAAGCGACCATGCTGAAGATGAGAAATCACATCGATTTGTAGTGGGACTTCAAGTCAAACCAACTTTAATTAGTTTGCTACACTTTAAGCAATATTGTCTTAATAATAAAGTTCCACACATATACACTCACACCATCGATGACATTTTTTTTAATGTTGTTTTTACTGCTCATCATTTTTATTTTTACTCCCTTAATTTCATGTTTTACCTTGAATCATTCTCTGAATGAATAAATGTAGGCACCTCCACTGAATTTTTGGTATCTAAGGTTAAAAATGAAATTTTAAAATTGTAAAAACATTCTTGAAGCTTTCATTTTAGCTTTAATTGAAAGCTAAATGATTAAATTTACTATTTAAGTAAGCAAAATACTCTGGCATATTTCAAATAGAAATTAATATTGATTGGAATCTCAATTTTTTGGTCGCTTTCACAAAATCGACCATTTTTGACATATTTGTAAACAGAAATTAATTCTCGGTTTTAATAATCTTCCAAAAATAAAACATATTTGTCTGAAACTTTATTTGAGGAATATTGGCTGATTTAAAGTATAATTAATCTGATTTGAAAAAAATATTTACTTTAAGTTTAAAATAAGAGAGAAATGGATTTTTAAAGCAAATGGTAATGGTTATTATGTGCTTATCACCATCACTTGTCACTCACTGATCACTTAACAAGTAATGATAAAATCTGTCAACAGTTTTACTGTTGTTTTATGGAGACATTATCTGTTAAAACATAATTTAAGAAAATAATGGATGAGTGCCTTTTTAATATAATTTTTAAGTATTCAGTAATCTTGTAATGTTGGAAAATATTGTAATTTTAGGAATGTTGAAATTAAATTTACTATAGTCATCAGTTTTATTTTCTGATTATGTCATGTATGGTTGACCATACTTTCAAACAGGGGTAAGTTATGTAATATTTTATATATATATATATATATATATATATATATATAAATTTTTTTTTTTTTTTTTTTTTAAATATTGGGTGTAAACAATTTTATTGACCTTTTCAATTTGTGATTTGTAAATATAGTTTTCACTTAATAACACTATCACCTAACCAGATTGAAGTAATGCTGAATTTTAAATGATTTATAATATTATAAATTATTATAATTTAAAACAATGAAAACAATTCTTGTAAAAATTCAATATTCATAGAAATTTTTTTTTTTTTATTTTATTAAATTAGTGTCCTTAACAAATCTTCATAAAAGGAATTAAAATCTTTTCTAATTAAATAATGTTATATTTTTATTGCATTTTTTCTATTTTAGGATTTGGATCACATTTTTGGGAACTGAGTAGTAGTTTGAAAAAAAAAAAAACAACAACAAAAAAAAAAATTGATGATTTACTTTCTTCAAAGAGTCCTGCTTCTAATTAATAAAACAAATTTTATGATTAGAATTTCTTGAAATTAAGAAAGTGGGTGGATTGGTGGGTAACATATGTAAAAAAAAATATTTTTTACCAAGATTTTCTTAAAAATAAATAAACAAAAATTTAAAAAATAATTTTGTTCATTTTTGAATAAGTCCTGAAAGTTTCATTAAAATCTGACAATTATTTGATTTTTGCAAGAATTTCCAAATCAATGTGTTTTTCACTTTAAAAAAAAAAATAGGTGCAGAAACATTAACTGTAAATATTATGTTGTCTGCTGACCTAAAAAAAAAAACCCCAAAGGAAACAAGGTTTTTAACCAAAATTTCGAATGTGTTAGAAAGGATTCAAAAATTTAATGTAATAATAAAGATATGCTTTGGTCTTTCCTCTTAATAACATAAATATTTTGGTGATAAAACTTTCTAAATTTGAGGCTTTTTTTCATCATGCTTCTTCAGTGAGCAAGTAAATGTACCTAAATAGATGGAAGCATCAATGGCACCAGGGGAAAAAAAAGTGTTTTGATTAACAATGGAATCTTGTAATTTTTAACTTAAAATATATTTGAGCAATTTTCATCACTCAATTTGTGTGCCATAGACTGAAAATGTAGAAGGGATTGTCAGTCATCAGGAATTAATACAAACATGACTGACAAAATATAACCATCATGTATAATGTAAATGCATTGCTGATGATTTACTATAGGAATGCATTACAAATCTGAAAGAAAAGGATTATCAGTGGTCAGGAATGAATGCAAGCATTACTAATAGAATAAAGCTGTTATTTGTAGAATGTAAATGCTTTAGCAATGATTTTACTATAGAAACTGCATTGAAATTCATGATGGGATTTCCAGTAGTCAGGAATTATGGTTACTTATAGTAGGATTCTTATCAGTACAAAACATCTACAATGTATACACTCATAATTTTCTGGCTCTTGTCAAGTCTTTGTTGGATCAATTTCTTGAAAGAAATTATAATTTCATCTCATTCACTATTTGATGACGACATAAGTATGTCCAATATTTTTCTTATTATTTTATCCTATATTTGAATGCTTTTTAGTTTCTTTGAACTGCTCACTATTTAGAATTTTTACATTTTCTTTCTTGGCTTTTTTCTATGTAGTTTTAACAGTTGATGAAATATTGCCATGTAATTTGAATAATTTACACACTGAGACAACATGGTCTAGTTTTTCCAATAGTTCATCTTTTTCTTGATATGATTCCTGTACTTAACCCCACTATAGACACTTGTGTTTTTTTTTATAAAGTGATAGCAAGTTGTAAGAAATACAAAGAAAATAAGTTAAAAAAGAAAAAAAAATCTCTAATTTGAGAGATATAGGTGCTTTTCCATGTAAATTACATTGGTGCTTACAGGAATTTAAAATATGCTTTCTTGATTTTGTCTCGATAAAAAAAACAAATCCCAAACCATCAATTTCTCTAATATCAGCATATCAACTTCATGTGCATGAGGATAGATCAATAAATCACAGGTAATTATCTGAATTTTGATCTGAAATCTTCACTGCATAATGTTCAATCTGTGTGGTTAATGGAGAAGCACTGAGCTAAGTGCATTGATGAAGAATGAGATTGTGTTGAAAAAGAAATATTTGATTTGTAAAATAAATATTTGTTTCATGATTATGCTACATATACATATTTATCTTTTGTTTGTCTGAGGCTGGATCAATAAGTCGGTAACCTAACATGTTATTATTAACCAAATTTTAATCTGAATTAAGTCCATTGATGAAGGAGATGATGTTGAAAAATATATATTTGTTTAAAATAAATGCTTTTTTTTTTTCATCATTAGGCAACATTAGCATTGATACACTTATGCATTATGATATTTTGTTACTGGAATGTTTGTATTAATTATTTGTTCAAAAAAATTAAGGTTAAATGAATTTTCAAAATTTAATTAAAAACTTAAAAATGAAGTATTACTTATGATACTTTGTACACTGACCACCAAGAGAAAAGGTTTTGCAAAACAGTTATCTTTCCTGGAAAAGTTCTAGATATGAAATTCAGACCTCATGGCTCAAAGTGCACAACTTTACCCACTTAGCCAAATCTGCAATGAGTGACCAAATTTGCAACTTCAATTGCACTGCCTTTAAAAGTTGTTATCACTTGTGGTGCTTTGGCTAGTATTTAAGAATAATATTAGCCTATGGGATTTAGGCTTTTTCTAGTGGCTATTAGCTACTGACCTGGGTAAAAGTTTTGGCTTGTATTATTTTCTTTGTTGATAGACAAAGCTCTTTCTCAGAGGGAGAGACACAGAGAGTGAGAGAGTTATGACTTTATTAATATGATCCAACCATAATTATGTCAGTGCCCCACTTGTCTTTGTTGATAACCCAGTTTTGAAAAGAGGTTCATTT